GTTTCTTCCTGTTAAAAGGGAGTTTTTCCTCTCTATTGTCGCCAATGGACAATAGAGTGTGAGGGATTGCATTTGAAACAATGGGTCGATGAAAGAGAAAGCTTTGAATCAATCTGGTGAACTGTAAAGTGCCTTGAGAAAACATGTGCTGGGAATTGGCGCTATATGAAAAAACGGAATTGAATTTAATTGAATTTGATTTAATTTAAAAAATTTCCTGATGAAATGCTTGATATAGAAGCCATTAAAATAAATAAGTCCAGAGGATTAACTGTATCCAACCAAATTTATTTCATTGGTGGCTGTTAAGATTTAAAAAGGAACATTTTGTTACAGGCCTTTATTCCCTAATTTGATCATGTTTTAGTTCATATTTGTGCTTCTTACATATATCTTTTAGCTTTTTACAAATATTTGTTTTTCTTTATAAAGCACATTGTGACTTTCTGCAAAAGGAGATTCGGGGAAAAAAATAATAAAAGAAAACTTATTAATCCCAGCTGTTCCATAGAGTTTGCATCCCAGGCACACCTCTTGTTTGATCCTCTTCATTTCCTAGTCAACCATAAATCTTCTTTGGAAGGCATTGCATTATCAATGTAATTTAATGGTTTAATGGCAAAGGCAGCCAATGGAGTAGAAAACAATTTAAAGCTGTAAAAGTGGATGTGTGGGTGAATAAGGAGGAAAGTTGGATAAAAGGTTTGGTGACAACAGTGAATAAAAGGAATGATTCTCAATGACGCTTTCAGTATCTGATGGATGGACTGATCAGGGAAACAAGGACAGCATTTCTCATACTACTCACTGCCATATCTCAGATATATGGCTACATTCAAAAAATTATTTTGTTCCTACATGCAGACTTATTAGTTGTTGATTATTTTAAATACCTGTGGGCATTCACTGGTAAGAATCATCAGAAACCACAATAGGTTAAGAACTGTAATAATAAAAATAAATAAATGAGAAAAAGCAGCACATCTACATCATAGGCAAAAATGGTTTCTTTGGCTGTTTCCTAATAATATGTGGATCATTTTGGCACTTAAATCTGACCAAAAAGTTAAGCTTTGTCCCTTTTTCACCCATATAATTCCTTGCTCCATCTTGTCCCATGTATCCGTCCGGGTCAAAGTGTGGCTGTCCTCCAGCAGTCTATTGGAGGCGGGGAGAATTCATGTTTTTGGACTGTGGGAGGAAGCCGGAGTTTCCGGAGAGAACTCCTGCAAGCAGCATTGTGCACCCAGCAACAGTGTCCTTTTTCTCTACATTGGAGTTATTCACAGCAATCTTCCCAGGTCTCACAACTCCAATGCTTTGACCGTGTGACACATGCATTTCATGAAGTGCACACACTCACAGACACGGCACTAAAATAAAAATATACCTAACATACCAGAACTTTAGGCTCTAAAATTGAATCTCCAATACTTTTGATAATGCAGTCATTTTAGGTCAATGAGGAAAGTGGAGGAGAGCACTGGTGCTGCTGCTTCGCTGAAAGCTGGTAAAGTGATGTTAAAGCACCAGAATATGTGGAGCTATAAATTTGACTAAAATTGTTACCTAGATATATAATTAACACCCAGAATGTTCAGGTAATAAAAATTTTCTGCAAAGGAATATATCTATTTCAGTTCTTTACACATTTTTGACACTTTTATATAGGTCAAATAAGAAACAGTAGAATCTGAAATTGGCCAAAGTGTTTTTGTATTAAAAAAGTTTAAAAGTATGAGAACATTAAGTTGAGGTTTAAAATGCCCCCAGTTAAATGTCAATCCATTCATTTATTAAATAAAAATCACTGATTTAGGTTTCAAGTCATATTTTATTTACAAAGCACACCAATAAACATTTTTCTTCAGATATATTACATTTTTAGAATGATATATATATATATATATAGATATATATTTAAACTTCTTGTTCTGACATTCATTGTGCAAACATTGTAGGAACACTCATTAAAGATGCCATAAGAACCGAACTTGAGCAGGCTTTCAACTCTGCCTCCCACTTAGAATGGCATAAAACTAGAGATTTAGGGTTTATCATTAGAAACCTCCAATGAGCTGCTGAGAAACACAACAGCCAGATATCAGCCCCACCTCTTTGTGTTTTATATCCAGTCTAAGATCAGATTACCCAAAGAAACAAACAGTTTGTTAAATTAACTACAGACTGAAAACATTTTCATCCCTTATTTTTTATAACTGCTGCGTTCATTTTAAGGCTCTTTGTTTTTATAGACTAGTTTGTTTTTAAACCAATAGGAGCACAAGTAAGAAGTGTCTTTTTTTTTCTCCACACAGGGTCAATAATCACACAGACTAATGTAAACACCTACAGCCCCACTGATACTTGGTTTGTACCTTCTGCTGCTGTACTTGCACAACACATTTCATAGCCGCCAATAAGCTTCTGGCACATTTCTGGCTGGATATTTGTACATTCTTTTAGGCATTAACACCATGAGAGCCAAGGCCACTGGAAGCACTTTTGAACATGGGGTGCTGTAAACTTTTTTTATTTCTTTTGGACAAAAGACCTATGCGCCTATAGGCCGAATTAAAATATGATAGGATAGATTGCGATTCACGACTTTATTGTTATATCCACTATTGCACACAACCAGGGTCTGTAACACACAGACATTATCAGTTCTCAGGTGAATATATGCGCTATTAAATAAACTTCGCATTAACACTATAACAACGTAGATTTGGTCAGCTGGCATGAACCTGAGTCACTGTGTTAATGTCACACATGACTCTTTTTTGCCCCAAAACCACAAGGAAATAATTATATTATTATATTATTTAAACATTATTGAACAGTTATCCATTACAGCAAGAAACCAAGATCAAAATAACACTGTGAAATACTATTGTTACGTTAAACTGCACAATAGATATGAAAGTGCATGGTGGCACCATGTTCCTACTTGGAGCTACAGGCAGGATGCCCTGCATGGTTACAGGTGTCCAAATATTCAGGTGCTCTGAGGTCGCGGAGATAAAGTCTCTGATGAGCGGTTGAATCCGAAATGAGTTTCTGTGCCGTATTTCCTCCTCATTTCTGTCATTAAACTATAAACATTTTCTAGTCTGCTGTCACGAGCAGGATACTACTCTCTAGTTTGCTTGACATTGCCATGACAACGTAACTTTCATGAATTTATGTTGATTAGGCCTCAAAATAATTACATTAAAATCCAAATACATGTAACACTGAAATAAGAAAGTCCGAATCATTTCCCAAAATATTCATAAGAAGTGTATAAATTGTGCAGAGTATTTTTAGAGGCCAGAAGAGTTTGGCTATAGATTTACTGTAAACAGGTTGCTCACCGTCACCATCCCTACACTCTGTCGCCTAGCAACCCTGACAGTTGATGTACTGAGCAGGAAAAGAATGGATACACATTACCCGCCACATAACGACAGTTTTCATTAATTTCAGGTGGAATTATTCACACTCTTGTACTAAACTGTACTTACAATATTCACCACTGTTAAGCGCCTTTTTCCTTTGAGCAAGGAGCAGCCGGCTTGCTTGGACTCCCAATGAATCATGGGATATCCAAGGCTACGTAGGATACACTGGACCTGTCCTCCAGACGGGCAAAAAGAAGGCTGCTTTCGAGGAGTCTTCCAATCTGAACAGGCTTCAGGGGCACGCTATGCTTTAATCGGCCAAACAATCTGGCCTTCGCATAACAAAGTGTGACTTTCACCACCTAAAGGGCTAGAATGGAAAAGCGTATTCTTCTTATTAAGTGCCTCCTAACCATAATGTCAATATGACAATTCCTGAAGTGTTTTTTTTTTCTTTTTTACTCTGATTACATTGCAAACATAATTAATGGTCCAACTCTAGTAAAAATCTTCAGATTTTAATTAACTCCTCCAATTCTGCCAAGAGAAGCGTTGAGATATCCAACCAGAAGTTCCCTGCCAGCTAAAGCACAAACTTTTCACCAAGATGCAGCTTTTGAGGGAAACTACCAATTATTAGTGGAGGTGTTTGAATCTACCTAACTCCATATTAATTACTGAGAAAATACACAGTAAATTTAAATTTTGCACTCAGTTTTCATCACATTTGTGTGTTTTAATAAATAAATCCGTAAAAAAACTAAAGTTAAAAAAAAAAAAATAAGGCCACGAAGGAGAAAACTAATCTTCTTTTTTAAAAGGCAGGCCTTACTGAACCAGGATCTACCGAACGCCATCGGTTTCTGGTTTAATTGACTAACTCCTTAACTTCATAGGACTCCCTGTGTTGTTCTCACAAGCTGCATTTAAAGGCTACATCTTGGCATCAGCATCTCCTCTGTTTGATTCGGGGGTCGGAGGTCAGGAAAGGGAAGGTTTAGGCTGGTATTTCACTCGGTTGAAGTCGTCGACTGTTGTCTCTACCGGAGGTTTCCTCCAGTGTTCCTCCAGGCCCAGAGCCAGGCACAGAACTATGGCCGTTATCTAAAACACACACATCCATGAACCTCTCCATGAAACAAAAAAAAATTTAAGCTAAAAATTTATATTCATGATAATCAGCAGTATAATATTTCAATAATTATTAAATTTATCTTCAATACATTTCAGGCCTAAATTCTCTTGGTGTCTCCATAAAATCCAAGTATGTTTAAAATTAAACAAATAGCTAAAAAGTGCTGGACTTGCAAAAAACTTTAAAAAAGTAAAGAAATTACTTTTCATTGATTTTTTTCTGTTTCAGATCCATAAAACTATTAAAAGAAGAGAAACAAACAGGAACTCTTTAGTTACCGTAATGGTGGCGAGAGCAGAAATGATTCCGATCCTGAGTTTGACTGGGAAGCCCAGGTAGCTCTTTAAGATGGGACCACAGGGCTGAGGAAAAGATCAAAATCAATTATCAGTAATAAGTTTTCCATCTTTAAACTTTCTGACACAAAAAAGGTGAAATGTTTTAGTTGAAAGAAAAAAGGGAAAAAGGGGAGATGAGAAAGAAGTTCTGGAGGAAATATACCTTAGAGTGAACCCAGGTTTTAGTTGACGTCTCTGGAACCTGAAGATTATTTTCGGCCATCATGCAGGATCCCTCTGGGTTGGAGTTGTTGGACTGAGAGCTGTGAAGCAACAGAGATGACAGTTAGGATGGGAACCTGCAGGTGTTTGATAAACAGCATCAAGTTCAGGATAAACCAAACAAAAACCAAACAGCTGCTCATGGACTTCAAGCGGCGCCATCATGGATCTGTATTCAACAGATTTTTCGTTTTATTTTCTACTTCTGTTGTTATTTTAAAGATTTTACAAATATGGCCTATAGACGGGGTGCCATTTAGGTCAAATTGGATCTATCTAATTAACAAAAATTTTGTCTCAACTAATCTAAGTATCCAACAGACTCTTCCTTTCTGCCTTAGATAGTTATTTGTTTTGTCTTTTTAAGCATTATTTTTCCAAACAAATTTAGAGCTTTTCTGCTTCATAAACCTATAATTAATCCATGAGTTTTCTTTATTCAACTTTTAACAGAACCTTTTCTGTTTCTATGGACTTAGCATAACCATTTTTCTCTTTAACTCATCACTCCACCCAGTTACAGCTCTTTTGCATTTAGGAGATAAGGAAGAACAATTGGAAATATAATAATAAATGTATTGAAATCAGATTTCACTTTATTTGAAGGTTGAATATTTAAAAAAAAAATAATGACCATTAGGTCTTTAAAATAAGAACTGGTTAAAAATGAAATCACTAAGAGAAACACAGGTTCTAATGTACAAACAGAGAACAAAAAAAAGGGGATCAGAACCCATGTTACTGTAAACTAACTAAGTAATCTGACTTTACCACCCTAAACAACAGCATTATTCTATTCTATTCTATTCTATTCTATTCTATTCTATTCTATTCTATTCTATTCTATTCTATTCTATTCTATTCTATTCTATTATATATTCTATTCTATTATATATTCTATTATACTATATTCTATGTGCTATTCTATTATGTTCTATGCTATTCTATTATGTTATACTGTATTGTATTATATTATATTATATCATATTATATTATGTTTATACTTCATATGTTTTTAATATTGAAAATATACCTTTCCAACCATAAAATCAGAAATATGTGCTTTATATACTGTATATGTTGTTGTTGATGAACTCACCTCAGGTCAGCAGATGGCGCACATGAGCAGGAATCAGGAAGGTGTTTTCCCCAATCTTCAAAACTTCTCAAACCACAGCAGGAATCCTTGCAAACAAATAAAGTAAAATCAAAATTTTTTTTTATTGTTACTATTATTCTGCATCACCTGAAAAGGAAATACAACAAAAATGCTCCAGGACAGATGGATGCTGGAGCATTGAGTTTATCTCATTTACTAAAAAAAAAAACATGTCTTCTTTCTGAATAAAACTTCTCTCACCGAGGCCTGGAGTTTCTGCAGTTCAGTCTGGATGTAAAGCTCAGCTCTATGAAGAGGAGTTACATTCAGGAAAATGTCATCCACAGCGCTGTTCATCTGCAGAACATAAACCAAACCATGTTATTAAAGGAAATATCTGGACCTAAACCAGAGAAGGAAAACATGTAAACAGAATGAAAAATATCAAGCAAACCCAAAGGTGACTCTTTCTTTAATCCAGATAAATTAGAAGGGGGAAAAAAAGCACACTATAAGAATAAACATGAATATCTTTATTACACAAAAAGGGAAATACATATTGAGGAGTTGCATTTCCTTCAATTAAAATATTTTTTTCCCAACCATATGCTGAACATTTAATATTGGATTTGGTACAAATACAGCAAAATGTGGATTCTGAAATGAATGCAATGAACCCCACAGTCCCCCAGAGGGCCCCAGTGCATAGAAAATAAAGTTACCTGTGGTTCAACATGAACCAATGGTGAGGCGACAACCATCAGAGCAACAAACTCCACAAATATCAGAGCAGAGAACTGCAAGAGATCATCACACGTCCAACATTAAACAGAAAGAAGAAGGAGCTCCAACTATCTGTGGTTTCATAAATCACTTACAAGTTTTCACTGTAAAGAAAAAAAAAAAAGAAAAGAAAGAGAAGAAAAAAGTTTTATTCCCATAAATAGAAGCTCCTTCTGAGAAATATCAGGACATTTAATGCTAATCAATCATTATTTCCCTGAAGGATCGATGGAGATAATAGATAAAAGATTAAAACATTACATAAAAAAAGAATATTTTTTTTTTTTTATTAACTAAATTATAACATGTGACTGAACAATTTGAAAAAAATTAGAAACTTAGAAAATTTGAAAAAAATTAACTAGAAACCTATTTAATATTTTTTTTTTCAAATGAAAAAGAAGGATTAGAAATAAAAAAAAATTTAAAGCATAAAATTAATCTAGAAATACGCCCTCTTCTCACCAGCAGAAGCAAAGGTTTGTAGTTTGAAACTGCAGCACTGATGCCCAGAACAGACAGAACCACCGTGATTGGACCGAACACCTTCAGCGCCAGGAGGCCATCGCTGATGGAGAGCTGCTCAAAGAGCTGAAACACAGGATAAAATCATCTGTAGCCTTCAAGAAACTCAGGAAATTAAAAGGTGAGTTTGGAGGTTTTCAGGAATAATTCAAATCAGACTTAAAGTAAGTTTTAACCAAACAGCTTTATTGTGGGGCTCATTTTTTATTTAATCTGATTATCTTCAGCTAAAGTCAAACTGGATCAATGATCTAAAACATTTATAAATGTTTTTAGGAAGGTTAATCATGTTGCTCTCGATTTTCTGTTTGGTTCCTAACATGATAAAGGAACTAGCTGAACATTTTACTCTTTCATGGTCGATTTCTGTGACGTGCATCAGCAGCTAATATATTTACTGATGAACTTGGATGTATTTTAGAGGTTATGTGGAGTTTTGAAAAAAAAACTATAATCTGTATCAGCCTGGAAAGGCTTGAATAATTTATCACAAATGGATTCCTAACAAAAATCTTTTTAAATTAGAAGATAATCAAATGAAAATATTTTACAAATGCCTTGTACTGATCTATGATTTATATGACTTCTTTATTACATTGTTTTTTTATATATAATAATGCAGTAAAAGAAAATCTAAATCAGAAATTCATTTAATTGTAAAAAAAAATTACCATTTAAATCTTTTTGAACACAGAAATGTTGTCTTATGGAATTTTTTTCTTATTTCTTTTCCCCGTGGAGCAGCTGAGTACTCTGGCTGTAAAGTTTAGTGGAAGGAAAAACTATGGCAAAAAAGAAAACTTCATTTACTAATGTAAAGAGCATTAGTAGGAATTGGTTTCTGAACACACCACCACTACAAGCAGGAATATCTGTTTTATGATTATGGTATCATTGTGCTGAATTGGCAAGAAAACTGGTCTGACCTTAACAACATAGATATGATGATAGTGCTGAGGAAGATGAAGGACGAACCAGAGACTGATGTCCAATCATGTTCTGCTGCTCTGGTGCAGGCATTTATGCAAAAGGAGCCACAACCGAATATTTAAAGCAGTAAATGAACAGTGTGTGGATTTATTGTTCACTAACCATAACATATGTGTTATGAATGCATATATGAGTTCTACTTTCTGAGTGTAATTAGTAAAACAAAAGACCTTTTGTTTAAGATTTTAAAACATTGAGATCCACTTACAATTCTGAAAATATGCAGCAAATTAAAAGCTATTCTGAGATGTAGGAATGTGTTTCTGATTAAAAACCATCTTTTTAAAAATAGGATCTACAACAGAGTAGCTAATGGGTGAGAATGTCTTTATTTTAAGGGTGACATTGTTTTTGTAATTTAGATGGGAGATGGGAAACATTTAATTTACAGATGTCAAGGAATAATAAAATAAAGTATAAGCAACATATGGTTTTAATACCTCAGTAAAATCTAAAATCACATAAAAGTTTGTTGTTCGCAAAAAGCAGTCTGAGAAAACTGATTATCATCTACAAAACTGTTACATTTCATTTATGGGTCTAATATTTGACATCAACTGCATAAGAAATATATACAATTTAAATAAGAGGAAGTCCTAAATTGATTCTCGATTATAAAATACATTTAAAAATGCACGTTTTAGCTTAAATATGATTTCCAAAACTGTCCTATAATGTGATGCCAGGCCTACTTGTTCCATTTGACTAACTATGACAGCATTGCGTTTAAAGATGGCCGCATGTGGGCTAATCCGTTTATCTGCTAATAATTAGCGCTAATTCATCTATTCAGGGTTATTGAGAACTTTTTGTAAAATAGCAGCATCCCTCGTTTACCTTTTCAACAGGTACGTTGCCTTCGATTGATGAGAACCCAACACCGATCATCACCATACCAGACAACTGCAGAGTGATAAAGAAGAAACTTTATAAAACACATCCAACTGATGCATTCAAGTTTTATCACAGAGGGCAGAGCTTTTTAAAGAAGAGGCAACATTCCTCTGTAACTGTTCCTTCAGCCCCAGGGGGAAAGTTTGATCGGATTCCCTTCAGCTGGAAACTCTGATGGCTCAGCTTCCTCCCATTTTTCTCAAACAGCCCTGGAGAAAAATTAAGTCCTCACTGCTTCACATCTGGAACTCCAGGTTGTAGGAGGTGGATAATATTCCTCTATGAAAGCTTTTCTACCCCCTTTCTGATTTTACAACATTTCTTTCGTATTTTGCCAAAAAAAAAGACTATATTCGAGGCCATTGAGAGATTGAAGCCTAGTGCACTAACATAATAATCTATAATCATTAAATAATTTATATCTGAGTTAGAAGAGGCAAACATGCAGATGTACTTTAAGGCTGCACTTCTAATTTGCTGCTTTCTTGTGTGACATTTGTTCTCATCTGATTAGATAAATATGTTGGGTAAATATCATGGAAGAATAAGAAAGTTTCTGTTTCTGAGACATGAAGAGTTCTTTTGTAAATTTTGAGAATCAGAGCAAAAGATCCTGAAGAAAACAAAGAGAAGTCATTTATTAACACTGTAAAGGACTTGGACTGAAAAGCCACTCATTAGAGAAGAAGCCATCACATAAAAAGCACAATTTAAACCAAGATAATATTTGAAAAATTCATTTGGAGACCTGCCCTGATGTTTGATGAAACAAAAATTACTAAAAATAATTTTTTTTAGGTTTGGAGGACATTTGAAAGCCTGAGAATAACTGTGATGTACGACAGAGTCAGCATTATGATCTGGGAGTGTTTTGCTTCACTTCACAAAAAAAGGACAAAGCTCAGAGACAAAAAGGGTCTTTTAAATGTCCGAAGAATCCAAACAAACCACTAAGTGTTTTATAAAGTAGCTTAAGGACAACAAATTTGCTTTAATGGAAAAGACAGGACAAAAGTTCTGACTGAAAAAAAGTATAAGAAAAGGTGTATTTGAGCAAGCTAGTCTCTATAATCAATCCAATTAGCATTCTTCCTTGAGGAATGCACCAAAATATGTCTGAAGGCATCTTAAGTATATTCATTTTGACTGAAATCATTGAGTTTAAAGGTATAAACTAAGGAAAAGTATGTTAAATCCATATTAGGGAATTCAGTAAATGAAGTATTCGTAACTGACCTAAAAGTATTACAAAAAGGAAGGAATCTTGTGTCCTTCTATAGAGTGCATGTGAATATTTGGTTTTGGCAGCTTTTGATTTAAACATGGATGGCTGAATGGGTCCCTGCAGATCCTTCAGTTTGCACGTTGCACTGGCAACAACACTCAAAATAGATGGAAAGGTATGCAACGGGAAAGAAACAAGCGCATGGCAGTAAAGCTAAACTCAGAGTAATGCACAAATTAAGACACAGACATCAGAAGTACCATACAACAAGATGTAAACTAAACTAAGCTTCGAAAACCTGATTTTTCCTTTCAAACAAACTTTAAAGAAAAATCGTAACCATGGCAGTGAAAGTCTCCTGAGATTTTCAGTCAAGCTGAAAAGGAACATTCGACGTAATCACTGTAATCAGCTGATAAGAAGCTCAGCAGCAGGAACAGGAAGCAGGAAAAAGTGAGCACAACGACAGAAATTAAATAAAAATAGCTACAGGAGCCAATGTAGTCACACACTGTGTTTCTGCTGGCGGACAGGCAGACAGTGGCCATGCTTTCAACCATGCTGTTAAAGGGCAGTAAAAAAATATTTGGTGACTGCAAAAGGTGAGGTTAAAAAAAAAGAGAACTGAGACACTTTTATTCAAAGTGAAGAAGGAAAGGGAAGAGTTTGCATGAGAAAGATAAGAAAGGGAAATGAGCAACGATTACCCGCTAGTTACACAACCAAACATGTTTTTGCAAACCCCTCATTTCAAAAACATAAAAGAATGATACAAATATATGAACTTAATAGAAATATAACTTTGAATCATTTATTATTTCCTAAATAAATTAAAAAAAAACTTCCCACCATTCCACCAAGTTCTACTCTAACCAATGCATCAGAATTTATAGCTTTAAAGCTATAAGAGTTTAAAGCTAAATTTTATTTACAGATATCATATACATATTCTGGTTACAATAAAGGAAAACATAATCAAATTATGGAGGTTTCAGTTCCTCGGTAAAACCTGTAAGCACATAAATATGTCACAAAAAGCAGTGCATCATCTGTAAAACTGTAGAATTTTATTTATTTTTAGGGACCTACAATCTGATATTAACTGCTTCCCACACTTATTGTAACTGTTTACTTTGAATAGCTTTATTTTTCAGGATAATAAATCAGCCTTATTCTACTACAGGCAATAGATAAATAGGAGGGGGGCTTAAAATCAATCCCTGAGGATCTAAAATATGTGTCATTCCATCCTAATAACAAACCCCATAGTTTGGCTTAAGAACCAGTGGAATTACAAAACATAAACTGTCATTTGTTTGATGCTCTTAGGTATGTAGGGAGTAAGGGACAAGGGGAAGAATTCAGGGATTTCCAATATCTTTATTCAAGAATGTGTAAGTTAGAAGAAATAGAAATCAAACTTGCTCCACAGGGCGGATATGGATGAGCTTTTATGTGAGAAGCTTTATCTGTCGGAAGAATCCCAGAGACTCTGTGCCTTTGAGTTGAATCTGCTGAGATGGTTCATCTGATCAAAGGCTTTCTGGACATTCAGGGAAGAGCTAGAACTTATCAGAGTCACTATACGCCTATGGATGCTTGATGAAGAGAGTAGGAGTGTCGTTAAGGAGGGAGATGTCTTGATGTTCATACTGGACTTTTTGGCTCAACCAGCTGACCAGATATAAACCAAGGCTGAAAGAAAGACAGACAGGTGGACAAAATATGGCCAATTCCCTGTCCAGTATGTTCGTTCTAAAGCTTCACAGAGGACACAACTTTCCATCTCCAGGCAACATTGTCCAGACCCGCTACGGGTGGCTGGCCTGTTCCAAGCAAAAATGTAAAGTCTTAGTATTTTCTTATGCTCTCTGTCAAGTCTATCATGTCCTAAATGAGTCTAGGCCACATTTAAAGCAATTATAAATGGCCGCCACTCATGACATCACAGGCAGCAGGATATTTAGTTGTATCTGGCTCTTATAATGCCTGTAGTACTTAATTGAACTTTGTCACAATAAACCTAATCTAAGATTAATGAAAGTGACTAAAGTAGAATCAACAACAAAATGATTAATATCTAACGAGATCCTTTGTCAAACAGAAACAAACCTTTTCACCCACCTGTTTAAACCCAGTGGCGTTGCACCAAGGACCCCTTTAGAAAGACGGGTGGTCAACAACACAAAGCAACTTCCTTGTCCACGAAAAGAAAAACAGCGTGGAATGACAACTGATTTCAGCAGTGTTTCTGCTATGCTGTTTCTGACAGGTTTGCCAGACATGAATCTTTCAACAATTGACTCAACATGGAAAAAAGAAACATTTACTGAAGGTGGGTGAGATTGTTCCAAATGAGGCGGCAGTGTTCGAGAAGTGGCACATTTGACTTACGTCAAGACTGAACAGACGTCCAGCTAGGCAGTTTTTAAATATGGATAACTTAATTTTTACACAATTAAAGTGCAATTCCAGCTTTGGGAGTGGTCTCCAGTCCACTTGGCATTCACATCTCTATTCGCACCGTGCCAGAGTTCACCTCAACAGAGCTGAGACCTAGGGTTTGAGGAGGAGCCGAGTTTGCTTTTTTGGTCTGAATCAGAGTTGGATTGCGTCATCATAGCTCCCTAAATGAACCAAACTTTTTGGCCAAACAAGCTATGATCCAATTAAATCAGACTAAACAGGGCTGGTGTGAATGTATCCTAGTTTTAGTTTCACTCAGCTGTTCTGACACCCATTCAGAAATCTTTGTCAATTAGATGATTAGATGAGCTTTACTGATCTCACAGCGGAGAATTTAACTCGTCACATTTTGGCATAGTAATAACAGAAGGTGCAAGCAAGGAGGAAAAAGGTGCATTAAGAATAAACAATATATATATATATACAGTATATCCAGGTATATACAGTAGCCTATATCAAGATAAATAAGGATTAGGGTGCAAGTGTACATGTATCGTCCCACAATGAAAAACAATATAAAAATAAGAAATAAAAAATAAGAGTAAAAAAAATAAGAATAAAAAAATACAAGGTAGTAGCACAGAGGTTTTAGGTTCTGCGTTATCAATATTTTCAAAAGGAATTGTAACTACGTGCAGTTAGCATTTCCTACTATATGTATCCTGTGAAGATACAGCTTTAATTCTTACCCCAGGACTGTGGTGGCTACAGCCCATGTATCCATATAACGGTGTATAGATTGGCTGTAATTCCCTCCTGATGAAAGCAGCTAAACATCAATCTTTCTGTTTATTAGACCTGATGATGCTGAACCTGGCTTTAGTTTAGGACTCAGAGTCATTTAAAAACATTGCCAGAATAGAGAGTTCAGGACACAGAAAACTGGTGTATGCTTTTATTTTCAGGGGGTTAAGGTTGATTTAACGGCTTCAAATACTTTATATGTATGTATATAAATCTATTTATCTGCTTCCCCTTAATTCACTTTGTTTAATTTCATCCACAGCTTGAAATTTTATTAGTTACCTGATTTCAAATCAAGATTATTGAGTTTCTTTAAGTAGTTTGATGATGCGCTAATTCTTCGTACATTTTTTATTGTTTTGCTTATTACTAATTAGCTAATTAAGCTTTTAAGGCAACAGCTATTGCAAAGATTGCATTGTATATTACATACATATTTATATATATTTTAATAAACATATATATGAAATGAAATATTTTATAGATGCCTTACCAAAAAAGATTTGCACATGATGTTGAAATAATTTCAAAAGATGTGTTTATAGTTTGCATATTATTATCTAGGTTGATAATAGATTTACTTTTTTAAATAACTTAGTTGAAACCAAAATAATGAATACTTTTGTAATTGATTAATCCAACATTGCAAATAAAGGCTTCATCACTTTTATTATCAGCGAGTTGTTAGCAGTTAGCATTTAGCTTACCAGCAAGAGCACAGTGACGCAGATGGAGAGTCCCCGTAAGTAACTCCTGCAGCGAGCCATGATGACAGCCGTCTGAGAGCCGAGCTGAAACAGAAACACAGCAAAGACCAGAGCCAGCTGTGTGTGGAAGAGAGAGAGAGAGGGAGAGGGTGGGTGTGGGTGTGTGTGATGGATGTTGTTTAAAGCTCAGGAGTGTTTGGCTGCAGAAACAAGAACATGACCAAGTTTGGAAGACCAGCTGAGAGGAGAGTGTTAATTAACCAAGGTGAGTGAATATGAACGCATCACATGCGCTCTGGATTTAACGATCTCTGCAACATCTTAACATGAGCCTATAGTTTGGCAAAGGTAGAAAAAAAAGAAAATTACTTGGCACCATCATCATCATTTGTGGTTTTAAAACACCATAATCTTCACCTTACTCTCCATTTACTACACCACTGAAACCACATTTAACCTTTTTGTTGCAAACTATTCCTGGGGGACAATCCTATAAACAAGAACTTTCTGAACCTCCACCAGCAGTTTCAAGTGATTACACCAGCAGAATGCAGGTGATAATATTTTATTTGATGATCATATAATCTGTCAACCTTTTTTTCTCCTGTTCAGCAGGGCTCATCTACATAAAAGAATAACTTTTTTTTTTCTGGTTCATAAAAATACAAGCCCAAAATGGTGTAGTTAGTGCTACACTGGGACTATTAACTGGTTACAACTTTGTACTCTGCACTGCTAATTAGTGTTGCGCCGATGCCATTTTTTGGCCCCGATACCCGATACCTGGCTGTGCAGTATTGGCTCATACCGATACCATCTGTTTGAAATTGATGTGTGTATATATGAAGAACTGCATACTACTTGGATGTAAAATAATTGCCATGATGGCTTTATCAGGCTGCTGCCTGCCTTTGTGAAGCAGGAAAAAGACTAATACAAAGTGAATCCAGTAGAACTCTTTATTGTCTACCTGGAATGGGTGACAATAGTTGAATAAACTTTCGACTCTCAAAATGGTATCGGTGCCCTATTTGTTGGTACTCGCCGATACAGATACCACAATTTAGTGCTGGATCAGGGCCCCGCCCGATACTGTTATCGGTATTGGTGCAACACTACTGCTAATAAAGACACTGACAATGGAACAGCCGGGCTGAGGCATGAAGCGAAGGTGACCCATCAGCGTGGATATACCCACGATGCAGTGTTTTTTCAGAGCATGTTTAAATATTGCTTTAGTTTCATACCATGTGTTTCAGGACAATGGCTCAGTTTTTCTAAACCATCCACTGCTGCTCAGACAAGGTTCTCAGTATCTGCAGAGCTAATAGCATAATCTCACTCTGTCTGGCAAATAGCTGTGTGCATGATGTTTCTACTTTTTAAACAATAAATTGTTTTGCTCTCATGAAAACGAATGGAAATCTGGTCAAGAAAAAATCTGCAAAACATGATTTTTTTTTTACATCTTAATACATCTGCATACTTTCAGCTAGAGATGCTATTCAACATTAACAACATTAACTCAACATTTAAAGCATTTTCATAACCTTCTGGTAATATTACATAATTCAACTTTTTTATATATTTTATGTTTTATTCACAATTTTTCAGATTTCCAATTTTAGAGTGGGAATTCTTACTGTTTGTAATGTAGATGTTGGAATGTGTTACACATCTCTGAACAAGCACTTCTCATTATCACTCTATCCAGACAAATCTTATCTTTCTTTTTTATGTTTTTTAATGGCAGTAGTGGCTTGCTTATTGTACAGTAGACTGACAGGAAAGAGGTTGGGGAGAGAGAAGGGGAGATACAGCAAAGGACTACAGGTCATATTCGAAACCAAGGATTAAGGCCTCCGTAAATTGCGTCATGCGCATTAACCACTGAGCCACCGAAGCACATCCAAAACCTTATGCCTTTACATTTGAATTTCTGTCTCGATTCAGGAAATGTAACCCTCATTGATAAGGGATTCAACGTTTTTTGTTAATTTGACCCACAAGTCCATACACCCTAGAAATCCACTGGTTGATTATCCCAAAGCAGAGCCAAAAATCCCTAAAGACACATTTTAGAATCACTGCCTCTTTAAGCAATAGACAGAATTTGGTAACAATTCAGTGAGTTTCATCATAGCCAATCCTAACCAGATTCTGGTAGAAAAGTGAAAATAAGTCTTTATTTTCCAAAGCCTGCTGATGCTGACAGTGAGTTATGCTTTAATGTAGATGGAGTCGTGTGACAGCTATTTTTTGTCAGTTTTTGCTTTTCTTTCATTTTCCCTCTTTATTTCATGACTTTTGCACCTGTATTAAAGTTTTTTTAAATTAAAGACATAATGTTTTTACCCGTTCCTTTCTGTAATGAATGGTCTAAGTACGGCATCTCTAGTCATTACCGTTCATAAGATATGGGTAATAGTTGAACCCAATAACCCCAGCTGTTTAACACTGAGGTGCAACGAGTAACAAACAGCTGTTGCTATGCCGTCACCACGCCTACACTCATCCTTATAAAAACATGAAAAAACATTTATAACTCTCTAAACCCAGCTGCATGTTGCTGAAAGAATTATATTGATAAGTCTTATACTCTTTAAGAGGAAGGAATTTGTTTTTGTGAAGGAAGTTGTCTTTTCTGACTTCTCCCCATTCTTACCCTTTTCTCCATTAATTTTTGCAACTTTATCAAAAACCTTGTGGATAATAGTTTGTCTTTCTATCCTGAAATGAATACAGTGACCAGTCTATTCTATACAGTTGACATGTTATAGACAGTTGATCAACCAAAGATTTCTCTGCTGTTGAACGCTGAGGGGCCCAGCTTGCAAAAGCTGCACCAACATTGTCATTAAACTTAAACAGCCATTATTGTTTTCTAAACTCACAGTGAAAGAATTATATCAATAGAACTTTTACTTTTTGAGTTAGCACTAGTTGTATTGGGATCTTGTCAGGGATGTTTTCACTTCACTTTATCTTCATATTTTTCACACTTTTTTCCAATATTTTCTTCTAAAAAAACAGACATAGACCAGAGGTCACGGATTAGCGGACCAGAGTCTGGATCTGGACACAACCGGTTTAAATCATTTATAAATTTTTGCATGTTGTCCAACGACATTGTCTAACTTCACTTGCACCACTTCGCCTCATAATATGGTAAAGCCTTCCAGAGCGTCCGGCTCCAGGCTACACGCGATCCAAATGATCCAATGAGCTGCTGTCAGTCTGGGTTGCTGCTGCTGCTACTTTTAGACACAGCAGGCAAACCTGTGGCAAGCCGGGCGATGGAAAAGAAGGAGAAGATGATGAGAAAAAGAGAGCAGAGAAAGTGTGGACTGATGAAAGAACTGCAGAGAAAAGTGAAATGGTGCTCAAAGATGACTCTGCACATTTAGAGGATGTTTGGTTCAACCTGCTGCTGTGAAGCAGGATTCTCCACCATGAACAGAATCAAAAATTAATATGGATCCAGGCTCAAAGTGAGCACCTTGAAAATGGGTTTGTCTCCATTCAAACCCAGGTTTAAAGCCTTGCAGGGCAGCATAAAGCCCACTGCCAACATTAAGACAGAAAAAAGAAATAAAAATGGTCAGTTCAGGTGTGTTATAAAATATTTGAATCAGGAAATTGTCTATATACCAAACTGAACGATTGTTGTTCTCTGCTTTAAAGAACACTGTTAATATTAAAATGGAAAATGTTCAATAACATTTTTAAATTATTTAAAAATTCAATGTATAACATGGATGCATAAAAAACAAATTTTATTTCAGCGTTAAATTCCCTTTAAAGTTACAGATTATAATTAAAAATATCTCCAGACCTTTAATGGTTGATAATTTTCTTTATTCGGACCTAGCTGATTTTTAATATACATAGATAATATTGTTCCCTTATCTGTTGTCAAATAAACTTGTTTCAAGAACGTTGTCGATAGACCCTACGGGTCCTGAGATATGCAATGTTGTTCAACCAAATGCGTCTCCAAATCTTAATGAGCAGAGGGGGGCTAAATGAGGGTGAATGGCAGTGAGTTTCCATGGTAACGCAATACCTGTCACATTTTTGTATTGATGTGTTTAATGAAGTATACATGTAGTACACCTACACACTCAGATGCCCAAACACATTCACATCCATGTCCATGAACTTAATTTCATCCATGATTTTTCTTTGTTTCGCTACTTTAACCAATAATAGCTAAGCTATTCAAACATGGACTGGATCAGTGATTCTCAGTCCCTGTCCTGCAACTTTTAAGTGCCTCCTTGGTGCCACGCACCTGACTTTCATGAAGTGATGGCTTCTGCTGCATTTCATGGCTGCCGAATCAGGTTTGCTGAAACAGAGAGAAACGTCTAAAAGATTCAGAGCAGTGGCTCGTTAGGGTTAGAAGTGAGAACCACTCTGAGTAGATTGTTCTTCTCTAAAAGAAGAATATTACAACCCCTTGTTTTTGATTTGTGAACCCTTTATCTCATTTTTAAAGGTTATCAAATACCCATTTTAATGGCTTTTTTTGCATTTTGATCACTTTCAAACTAGTCAAGCTCAAAAATTGCAAAACCTGGATTCTTCTAACCTGGACTGCTTTGTTTTATACTATCTGGGAATCTTTAAAACCTAGTTTATCAATTGTAAAATCAGTATTATATCTTACTTTATTCACATTAGATTTTGTCATGCTTCAACTATTGTTTGAATACTTAGTTCATTTCATCCAATTTTCTTCTACATTTTATGCTTTTGTATCTTTCTTTATTCCTTTTATTTCCAGTCTTGTTTTCAACGTTTAAACTATTTTAAACAGCCAATAACTTCAACTTTAGCTGTATATCTCTCTCCTCTTTGTCCTCTTCCCATGGTCCACCTATATTTACATTTACTTGTCAAGCTACTTAAGCTTTTTTCATTTATCAACTGACACGTTTGCATTTGATTTTAACCATTAAGCTATTTCTTCAACTATCTAAACAGTTTCTTTATTAAGATAACCTCCATTTTATTTTTGTTAGTTCTATTCTCTTCTATTTTTTTGGCATTTAGTCATTTTAAAGTTTTTTAGTTTTAAGGAAAAAAAAATAAAAAATCACCTGAAGCGTTTTTAAGCCCATGTTTTTCTCTTTAACCAGATCATTAGTTAATCTATACTATTATAATTCTAATTTCTTCAAATTTAGATTTCAGAAGCTTTATTGTGAACTTATTTTTCCACCATCTTTTTGTAGATACGTTAATCTTTTCTAATAATTTTCTAATAATTTTTCAGCTATTTTCTAAGAAGGCAGTCAAGCATCATCTTCTGAAAATTCATGACATTTCAAAGCTTTTTCTTTCTAAATCAGCTCCTCTCTGCCATCCTAAAGCTTGTATCTTACAGTTTGGTGTAAAGCATTCACAGAATTTCTGCAGGTAATGCAGCTTTTTCTACTTTTGGATTGGGCTTCTTCATTTAAGCTCAGACATCCAACATCTGGATCACCTCCCTAGTTAAATGACCACACCCAAAGCATTAGCAGGGAGGAGGGGGGAAAGGGGAGGTCTGGTTATACATTGGTTTGATTACAAAGCTGTGAAAGGTGCAAAATTTGCAAAACCTCCATATCAATTTGTTTTTTGCACCATTTTTTATTTTCCTCCCACACCGTTTACATTTGATCGCTGCTGCACTTTAATGGAAATGTCATGAGGTGTACAAAACAAAATTGTGTATACAAAATGACAATTAAAGTCGTCCAAGCCTTCAGGTCTTAAATTTCCAGGTTTTTCTTTTTTTCTCTGACTGAATTACATCCCACAAAATTTATGTTTCGCTTTTTCACACTGATCTCTCAAAGCTAAAGGCCCCGTAGCTCTGATGCCTACGAGAAATATTTAATTTCAAAATTTCTTCTGGACTAGGTCCCAGTTTACCCACTTTCCAATAATCCACCCACTTTAACTCCTTTCCTAGCTGTGTTTGAACACGAGTCCCTCTTCATGTAAGAGCAGCTGGTTTTCAGTAAGAAGCCCTTTGGATCCTGTCCATCTAACGCTCTGCAATATAAGTGCGAACAACAGACGTTTACATTCATCAGATCGGACATACTCATAGATCCCGCTCCTGGTTTCCTAGGAGATGCTCTCATCTCGTGTTGGAGAGAAAAACCAGACGTCCCAAAGGACCAGATTACTCTGGAGGCAGCTGTGCTGGTTGCTATAAATGAAATACAGGAGAGTGGTCTGTCTGCATAAACAAAACCTTTGTTTGGGATGATCTGACACCAGTTTTTTTGTTTTATGGCAAAGAACAGCTGGGATCCAAATAGCTCGACAGCATTACAATAACCAGGCTTCTAGCACTCTTAAGAGCTAAATTAACCTTAAACGTAAAGCAGAAAACACCTTCAGAGGTTTAGTCTTAAGCTACTGTGTGATCAGATACACATAAGGTGTTTTAGGTCTAGTTGAGTGAATGTAGTAAAGAAGTCATGAACAGAGTGAAGCTGGGAGGAATCTTGTGGTCATTAAGAGCTGGGCTGTGTTGACTTTAGACTAAAAATAACCAGAGGGGGAGAGGCCGACTGTGTGTTACAGCCATCAACAATGTTGCTGCTTGTTTCCCAACACACACACACACACACACACACGTCAGCTGTTCAACATAGAACACGTTCATCCATGCTAAGAGACGTAAACACCCCCACAGCTGCTCCATTTCAGCTTTGAAAGTTCATCTTGGTACCTGTTGATTTTGAAGCATAAAATGGACTTTAAACTGACAGTGTCTAAATATTACAAAATAAACTAAACATTTCAGCCTCTGCAGGGCAAGATACCCATGGTTGACAGTTGTAGCTTTTAATATTTCAAAGAAATGCATCAAACTGGCTAAAAATTTCTGCTAAACTCTCCCAATGTAAAAATTAAATTAGGCCATTTATGAATACGAGAATGAAATTTCTCCTTTATCTATGCTCAGCATTTTGTTTAGATAACCATTTAAAATTAAGATCCTTGAAATAAACGAAATATGATGAAACTTCAGATAAGTACATTATAATCTCCATGTTCTTAAAAAAGCAATTAAAAAAAAGGATTCCAAAAATGCCTATTACTGATGTACATTAATAACTTCATAAATGTTCAAGAAAACAGTTTTAAATCCCCCCCTACACCCATTTAAAAAAAAAAAAAAAAAGTTATAATACTTAAAGCATTGGAGACAAACGTGAGTCGTCACCATCTGCTTTCACTACTTGTGCATCCAGTAATCTGGCCACTATGGGGTGCAGGTTGTAAAGTTCAGCAATCAAATAATTTTTGAGCAGTATTTATGGTTATTCAGCATGTTTTTAAGAGAATAGCCATTACTCATTTTCCCCACACACATGCAATAAGCCTGTGCTAAGATAAAAAAAAAAAAATAGAAAAATGTGTTCAATATTAGATCAAATGTATCAGAGCCAGTTTATACACAACATGGGATTCAAGTCAATTTTATTTCTCAAATGGAAAAAAACAAAACAGGTTTTGATTAATTAAAAGCAGTAACAAAAGTAGCCATTAAAAACAAACAGCATTTTGAGTTTCATCCATACTAATGAGGCAGAGCAAAAGACATTCTATACATCATGTTTAAAATAAAACAGTACAACTTCCTGAGAAATCTTCTAAATGTAACCACAAAGATAACACGGAAACCTGGTTTAAAAAAAAAGTTGAGAATTTATGAGATCTGGGATATTTTACAACTAATTAATTTTCCTGAACCTCATTTTATTTACCTAAAGTTTGAGGCTTCAAATATATTTTTAATTTCTACATGTCCAAATATTGTTAGAAATATAATTCAATTATAGATGCCGAAAAATAAAATATAAGGTTTAAAGTTTCACGACTATAGTTATGTGCCACAGGCAGCATCACCACAATAAAAGCTTTGGAGGCAGACATTTAAATTATATTGAACTCCAATAATTTCCTCATTAAGATAATTTCACATAAGAGCTTAGTTTTGTAACAAAAAAAAAAAAATATGCATTTTATCTGCCACTTTTGGACTCTTACCTACAAATATACTGGGTGATATATTGGTGTGCGCCTTCACAATAAAAGCTTACAACTGGCTCTGATGTGTGGTAGAAGTTATGTGAGGTCTTTAGAAGGAACAGGCTGATCAGCAGCGATTTAAACAGTGTTGCCGGCTTTCTTCCCAATTTGACAGAAGAGAAGCATGGAGAAGACCATGCCGAAGATCTGGGGAAGGAAAAAAGATATTAAAAAAAAAAAAAATAGTTTGACAAGCAGTGTCTATAGCAACAAACTAATGCAAATCTGTGTCCAAGCATTTTAACTACAGCATTGACAGGAATCCATTTCTTCCACCAATATGCGATATGCTCTCTTAAAGCTTTTTGCAACCCTTCCACTGTAAAATGTGCCTTACAAACATCCCCTTTAAAATTTCCTGTTAAAATTTGAGTTTTTTTCCTCTCCACTGTCTCTACAAGCATGCTTGGTGTGAAGGATTGCATTCAAGTCAATCCATCAACTGGTTTCCTTATATACAACATTTTCAATCGATTTAACTATATGATGTGGTGAACTGTAAAGTTTTGAGATGAAATGTGTTGTGAATTGGTGCAATACAAATATGGGCCCCTTTCAAATTTCACAAGAAACCCCTAGTAAGAAAATGTCAGGGTTTCTAAACTGCTAAGGTTTCCCATCATACAGTTCGTGTGGAATAGATCCACTGCTTTGATCATAACTACTATGTATAGATGCATTCAATAAAAAAATTTGAGTTCAAAATGTGTGAGCACATTTAAGCAGCAACTATGAGACTAGATAAGGACCCTCTTTCTTAGTCTCCATGCTCAGCAGAGAACGTAACTTTGGAAACGTTTCCTTTAAAGAAGCAGCTTAGTCTCCAATCAGACCAACAAACCTAAATCTACAGAACCCTGAGAACTGAGCTTAAGGCAAGATATCCCCCCCCGCCCCCCCCGGTTGACTGTGTTTGTTTTTTCAAAGGGTGGGGGGCATAACAAGACCATCAGTAATTAGTTTCACATTTAACATCTTTAGGGTAGCCATTAACTCTGGATATGCATGTTTGCTGACCAGAATAATGGCGATGGCAAAGGCTATTCCCAACGACACCTCCATGTGATTCTTCATGTAGCCGGTGATCTTGCCGATGCAGGGCTATGAGATAACACGACAGTTACTGACAATGTTTGGCCAAAATATTAATTTAGCAGATTGGGGCATAATTCCTCCAGGTCTCCATCTTACTTCCTGATAGATGCCAGCGACACACTTGTCAGCTGCAGGCGCAGTGGCGTTGCAGCGGCAGGATGGTGGGATTGGTTGCCATTCAATTGGTCCCTCTGTGAGTCCACAGCATTTCAACTGGAAACACAAGCAAACTTGTTTAAATGAGGGAGCTCCCAGCAGCACACTGAAAACAACGTAACCTGGTTCTGGTCATTCCGATTCACCCATTTATTTCCAGTTTTGAATTGAAAAAGCTTCCTGGATGGGAAGCGAAACATCTTCAAACTTGGAAACAAAGTCCAGTGGATTTTATTTTTTATTTTTTTACTTTACTGGTTATGACCTGGATGACTGAGAATCTTCGCCAGCACACCCATTTAAGTGAGCAAGTGAAAATATCAGAACATTCTCTTTCCCACCCAAAAATGACTGACTGGAGTATAGGTAGTGGTTCCAAACTGATCCATTTAAACATTCATGTTCTTCCTTCTCTCTCCACTAGAGGTCAGCACAGTGCTGGCAATAATGAGGATGCTACAGAAGAGAAGGTCTGCATTACATCACTATGAGAGCAGATTTGTTGGAAAAGTGTAAATTTTATCCTTTAGGAGTGATTCTAAATATTTTCCATGATCATGTGAAGGTGAAGAGATGAGCAGCCAAATGGAATCATACACAAACATAAGTAGAGGGGCACAAATTGTGCCTCAACAGCTAATTTTACATTAAAAAAGGCTAAATGTAAAGTGCAACATTAAATGACTGTAGTTTAAAGTCAAAGAAAAAAAAGTGGTCAATGTGCTCAGTGTGGTAGAGCTGGGTAGTTACCTCCCTCTGCAGTTTCTCAAGGTCATCTTTAACATTTTGTGGCTGACTTGCAAGTGGCTTAAGCTCCTTCAGCTTTTCCTCCACCCATTCTCTCACCTACAAAATAAAAGCATATAGATTAATTCTACAAATGGATTCTGAACCAAAAAAAAAAGCAGCCTGGTCCACCTTACCCTGCCCTCCTCGACAGCTGCCAGGATGCCCGCAGCCAACAGCAGGGCGAAGATGATCAACAGAAGGACGAAGAACTACAGAGAGCAAACAAATGCTTAATTTTCATTTCTACAGCAGTTTGAGTACTACAAGCTTGCACTGTAATACTTTGTGCTAGTTGAACACTTGCAGCACTTCATTTCTACACCCATTTATATAGGCATAGAAATCATAACATAGCAATCTTTTATAGAATTCTAGGTTTAGTAGCCTTCAAAGCTGCAGTGAAGGCTGGCTTTGTCACAGTCAACTATAGGTGGTACTACACTTTGCATGGCACTGCTACATCTGCATTGTCAAGGTTTTTGACACACAGCCGGCAATGTTGCTTTCAAATCAGCATAACCCATCAGATTAGCATACTCATAGTCAACACGCATGTGCAAGGCATTGGATAGGAGTTTATCCCTTTAAACAGTATTTTCCTACAAAACTAAACTACCTTGTTGGGCCTGTATTACTTGTCATGCACAAAAAAAAAATAATAAATGGGTATTGACTATGGTTATAATGGTCTGACGGGGTATGCTGATCTGACAGACCACCACACGTCAGGCAGTGACCCGCTAGGATACAGCATTAGTTTGCATGAAATACCCCTATTTCACTGCAAGATGAGCAATTTTTCTTACACACGATCCCTTACAGCTTTGACATAGTCGCCATTTTAATTAGTCAACTGTAATTTCCCCCCCCTTTTCCTCAGGATAAAAACCTAGATCAAGTGTTTTTGTGACAGGATCCTCACCACTAGCAGCATGCAGCGGTTCTCTCTGTAAGCTCCACAGCAGCCCAGGAAGCCAAGCACCATGATGATCACCCCGATGGCGATCATTAGCTCAAAGCTAGGAAGATATTGTTCTGTAATCTGTAAGGAAAAGGAGATGGGAAGGGATTGAAACATCACAAAACACTCAAGTATTCTAGTAGCAGGTTCTGAGATGGCATCTACAAGTTTTACAAAGTATATTATCTGTTGCATAAAACTAGTCAACCACACATCAGCTTTGGTAATCATGCAGAAAAAAAAAATAAAATAAAGGAGCCTCACAGAGTTTCCATCTTTGCTGACTTTCAGGTAGATCCCAACTCCCAGGATGATGCAGCCGCAGATCTAGAGAGGAACAAACAATGAGACCAATTTAAGTTCCCATTTTTAAAACAAGTTTCACCTGTACTAAACAGGAGTTATTTTATCAAACAGGGATGGTTTAAGTCAAACACTACTTTCATTTTTCATCACTTGTGGCTTATTGTACCATTTTCCAATTCTATTAACACCATCCTTTGCAGACATTCTCTAAGGCTCAATAGGTGCACCAATGTTTCCAATTTTGCTTTTTTGTGAAAATCTGAAAAATGTATGCAAAGAAACCATTCCTATGCTCCATCATGGAGATACTGGGATCTGTCAAAACCTGAGCTCGACATTGGCATTACAAGCAGAAGTAAACGTACATTTTGGACCATTTAAAAACTGTTTATATACAAAATTACCTGGTTTTGGGCAGAAGAGGGAGCAAATGCTCAGCCAGAATGGATCATTATACTCTGGCTTTTAACTAGATTGGAAAATTTGATTTCAACCAAACTTGGCTTCTGATGTTATCATTGAATGGATTTCTGTGTTTGGGGATTGTGACTAATGTTAAAAAAAAAAAAAAACCCAGATGCCACTATACGAATTGAAAGCTCAAATTTCGACCATTTCAAAAAATTCTTTGAGATAGAGCCAAGGATCATGGAGGTCTTGTTGGTCTCCATCTCCCGATACACTCTTGCCTGTGTCTGACCATTCAGACATTTCTACATCTTTTTCTGAATCCAGCATTGCAGCATGGCATAGACAATTCAGGGTTGCAGTTTGAAGAACACCCGTTTGCTTCTGATGATTTCCTTTAGCTAACCAATGAGTGTTTGCGTTCTATGGCTCCATCCACATCTAGTGAAAACTAGTGTAATTGGATGAGTCAATGATCTGAATTGGATGGAGCACATGACGTGAAATAAAAATTTATAAACATTAAATCAAAGCCAAGAGTAACATTTGTTTTAAAAATGTAAGGAATAGATACTTGTGTGAAAATGTAAAGAGTAGAAGTCAGAAGCAGGAAGAAAAAGTATAGATACTTTGTTACTGTACTCAAGTACACTTTAGGTATTGTGCTTTGTTACTTGACACCTCTGATAAATGTTGCACAACTTGTTGGAAGCTGACTTTTTGTTGGTGGCACAAGTATAAGCCCATGAATGAAACTTGATAGGCCTGAAATTCAAACCCTTAGATCACTGACCTGTTGTCCACCTGCTCTGTAGGCACGTAATCGTTCAGACATTCATTATTCAAACCTCTCAGGCACACTAAATATGTTGCAGTGAGTGATTATCACCCTCCCAAATAAGTCATCTCAAGAGTAGGGTAGTGATTAATGCAGGTACACAAACAGCATCCTATAGGACGTTTTATATTTTACCATAAAATGAAGCCTTAGACGGTTGGACAGATCAATTTAATATTTTAAAAATTAAGGGTAAGAAAAAAAAAGCTTGTTAAACCTTAACAGTTGTGCTGCCACCCTTCAATACAATCAGTTTATCATCAACACTAGATTAACTAGTTAAACTACAGTTTTTGTTTGAAAAGACAAAGGAAAGACCTCACCCGTTTTTAGAGGTTAAAGAGATTTAACAAAAGGACGTGACTTATTGGCATTCTGAAGCAGCCATACCCAATTCTTTTCATTCTGTCTGAATGTCAAGGAATCTCAGGCCCGCATCCAACTATATGTCAGACTCTAAAACCTCCCCATGCCATTTACACTGCTCTATTTGCACTCCTTATAAGATGCTATTTTACTTTTTATATCCATATCTTTATCCTAAATGTATATATTAGTCTATTTTATTGCATGCCTTATACCCAGTGTTTTAGATATTTTTATAATTTTATTTACCTATTCCATATTATGTTTCATGTTGCACGATTGTACCATAAAAAACTCATAGTTCGTGAACTCCTTCACTAACAATGGCAATAAACCTGATTCTGATCAGACCTCACTAGTACATCTAGCACTACAATTCAGCACTCGTCAAATCATTTGAGTAAATTAGAAAAAAAAAATATGTTTGAAATCACTACCTAAAGCAGACAAGGTTTTCTAGGAATATAAACTTTAAATTCATCTATAACAACCTTTATGCAGATTATGAATTATTCCATCTCAGAATGCAAAAATGTTTTTGTGGGAGTAAATCACTGGATTAGATGCTGTCTAAGAACTAAACACTGGCAGGTCTTAGAAGTACAGTTTGCTTTTAAAGGGGGAGGGAAAAAATAGTTAACAGCACAGATAAAGCTTTTTGACAAAAATGGATTTGTTCAATTTGCATGAAAACTGAATGAGGTCATTTTTAGTAATGGGTGGGGAGAAGAGAAAAAACAAAAAAATCTCTCCATGATGATGTCTTTACTAAAAATACCAAATCAAATGTTTACCCTATGACTTACTTCCAGAGAACATGAACTTCTTGATTTGAGCTGCTGTTAATCACCTTGACTCTGTGTCATACAAAGCAGATAAACCTGAAACCTCAATGCAAAACGTTCTATAGTCAGACATTCCCAGCATTGCTGTTTTGCAGCAGAAGATGCTTTAAGTGTTAAACTGATGGAAAAATGGGTGGATATCACTTCTATAACCAAAAAAAAAAAAAAATAAAATAAAAAAAAAAACCACAACACAACCCCCACACACACTCCTGCATTTATCCTACACAGTTAATTGATAAAAGATCTAGAGCACAATGACAAAAAGAAAAAAAATGAAAAGCCAACACAAAAGAAGTGACAGTTTCAAGCCACTGGAACTAGAGTTTAGTGCAGAATGTACAAATGTTGGAGAAAGTGCACTACAGCTGCAAAGAAGGGGGAGATTATGTAGGAGAAGATTGCTGCTTCAGTTAGCGTTTATATGAAGTCTGCTATGGCAGGCTGTTTTAACACTAAAAGCATTCCATTAGTAGATCACTAAAATAGGATTCTTCCTGTTCAAAAATCCACATTCCTAGTTGAAAATATAGATTTTCTAAATTATATTTGTGGCTGCAGAAACAGATTATCAGAAAGTAAACAAAATTGTACTACTAAGAAGTTTTATATACCTAGAAATCTTTACACATTTCAAGTGGCCATTTTGACATTTATCAGCTTAACTGAATAAGTATTTGTGATATCTGAAATATATTTCTTCATAGTCAAAATATTAATTGTGACCAGTACGAGTAGGAATATAAAGAAAAACAAATATCTTAATTGTAATGGGCTATGGCAGGCTATTTTGATAACATTAAATGAATACATCGAGGGCTTTCTGCCACTAAACTAGTTTAGATTAAATCTCACAGGAAAGAAGCATACCCATAAGCAAGTGAAGAGGAAGTATAAAAATCTTTAAACAGGTAGGACCTGTGCCTCATCTCATGGGGCTCCTTATTTTGCTCCCATGTCACAGTAAATACCAGGTGGCAGTCTGACTGTACAGTTTCTATAATGCTGTTATCACAACGTTCCCTCAGAGATATGAAGTTTTGTTAAATATCTAATGCTGCAAATGTGAGGACAGATAAGGTCTGGATGCGAGGTGAAACAGTAAAACTCAAAGATAACCGCTCCCCATTTGATTCTTTGAATTAATGCTGCTTATCCTTTAATTTGATCCTCATATAAAGGACATGTCAGGTTAAGTTTTTAACACCCATCCAACAAAAGATTTTCTTATTGTTTGCACAAAGCTTCGACAGAACTCCGACTAAATTAGGAAATTAAACATGAATGGCTTTACAGAGCACAGGGACAGAAAATCCTGCTGCTGACCAGGTTAGCTCAGAGGAAAAAATGTTAGAGGCTCAGTAAACCTGATTTTTAAACGGGCCTCTGCCTTTAGTTTACATAACATCAAAGTTTTACTCGGCAGAAAACAAACTAATTTGAATTTTTCTCTGCTGCAGGTTATCTACAAACAAAATAAGCTGCTTTCGGCGACGCTGGAGGGAAAATCCTCCATCAACGAATTTGTGTGGAAACATCTAAACCTCTGTTTGTAGGCAAACACTTAGAAACTTAACCATATTCCCGTCTTTGAGAGCTTCAGCTCAGCAAGGCTGAGAGTGGAAAATTTTACTGAAAAGGTGGTGAGGTGATTATATCCAACCTAAACAAAACTGCATTTAAATGAAGGTGGTTACAGAACAGTGCAAAAGAACACCCAGTCATTCCGGATCTAGATAAATCTAGGAGATTCTACCAGAGATTGTGACGCAAATGCACAAAGAAACTGGAAGAGCAACAGAATGATCTTTTGTTTGCATTGGATTCACTGTAAAGTTACAATTTTAAATTCAGTTTTAACCTGCTTAACTTGGTTTTAAAAAACACACCCCACTACAAAAGGTGCCTTTAAAAGCAAGTGAAATGGACGTAATCCAGATCAGGGATCAAGAATTTTAACCAAGTTATAATGTTAAGTATGAGGCTCTGGAAAAATAAAATGCTTTTAATTTATCAGGGATGTTTAGAGAAATGGGATAATTAACACATTTTCTGAGGATTTTATTTTTAATGATACTATTCAGTCCACAGTAAACCAGGATAATCTCTGGTTTATTAGTTTGCCATCAATAATATAAACCCACATCACATGAAATTTGTTTTTTTTATTCATTATCAAATTTAAAAACACTGTTCAGGTGATTTTATAATTTTGGTTGTAATCACCAGGATCAGGATTATAGTTAAAGTTTATTACCGATTAGTCATCTGTTAAGCACACAAAGTTTAAACTTTGAGATATTAGTTGACTGCTGACTGTGGCTTAAGTAGAATATTGGGTTTTAGTCAAGTAATCCAATTTAGCTGCATAGAAAAATACAGAGCTCTTAAAGTTCAAAACATATAAGCTGAAAATGCAATAATAATAATTTACCTTTTCATTTAATCTCATCCCTGATTGAGATTTTTTATTGTTCTCAGAACTGTTAGATTTTGCATATAGTTTAAACAACGGAATTGTTAAATTTAAAGTTAAGGCTTCAGTTAAAATAAATCCAGACCAAAGCGTGGAATTTTCACAAATGCTTCAAGTATGAAACAAACTCAGATTGGAATTATACTACAAAGATAAAACATCAGATTAAGATTACGTTTTCGTTTCACTTTCAGCATTTTGTCACTGAAACCATCTGAACAGATCAGCTGTTGATTAAACCACAAAGATGATGTAGTTCATCATTTAGAGCGCATCATTTCATGGCGTTCCCGTGCCTCTGCAGTGACTCATGTCGTAATGAGTCACCAACTGACACCCAGTCGCCTTCATACCAACCCTGATCACTGAACCATTGTCACTAGACCAGACCTGTTCTACTCTGAAAGACGCTCAGACGTGTTCAGTCACGCCCTCATCCTGCCCATCTTTTCAGCTCTTCCTCCACTCAGCAGCCAGCTTTAGCTTTCTGAAAACAATGACTCAGAGATTAATATTTCAAAAGGATGAAGAGTTATGGTGTCAATTACACAAGAGCAAAAAAGCCTAGCAGACAAAAAGCAAACAAGTCTAGTTTAATCTCCAGCTTATCAGATACCCTCATTATGCCTCTTCTTACCTGTCAGCAACCCATTTTCTTAGTGTTTAAATAGTTTTACATTTTGCTAAATCTAATTAAGAGTTGAATTACTAACAAACTTGAAATGGTTTTAACATGAAGTATAATCCAACAAGTTTATACCGACTGTTCTAGTGCCAGTGTAGGCCTGATGACTTACAAAATGACTAGAGCTTTATAACTAAATCATCCTGAGACGGACCTCCTCCTGAAAACCAATCAGTTCAGGGATGGTCTATTCTGCCATCCGCTGATGAGATCAGAAATTAGATTTCCAAGGTGATTGATGGTCCAAACAAAGCAATTACTGGAGCATCAGTCCAAACATCACTTTTCCACTCATTTGCAGCATTTCTATTGGGTTACATCCAGACAAACTCCCCCTGTTGGCTGATTAGATTTATTTTACAAGTATTAAATAAGACCTTAATCAACAAGCCTCACTGGTTTTTCCAACCAATATGCAGCTAATGTATTATTCATCTCATTTCTTTTAATCTTCGAATTCTAATATCTAATATATAGAAATTACATTAAAAAGTTGCAGAAGGATTCAGAGGCAGGATTTAAATCCATGCCATAAAGCTTTTAGTTAATATCAGGAACAATTAAACAAGAACCCACTGAGGTCCATTAACGCCAGTTCTACCATTTGCGTCCTTTTTAACCCATCATCATTAGGACAGCAGAAGAGGAAAGAGATTAATTTGAAGGTGATAACATGCGTTTAGATTGTGATGTAAATAATCAACAAGGTTTGAAATAATTTCCCCAACTTCTAAACTGGATGAAAAAGCTGCTAACTTCCATTTCTACACATCAGAACCTCCTGATCTACTGGAGCCTGAGAAACACAAGATCCTTTCAGCACAGGCTTGTTGACATCAGATGATGGGTCAGGATGAGAGAATGGTTAATAAAAAGCTAAATATCCAATACGGTCTAAACTAACAGGGTCAGAATCAGGCCCAGTGATGGAGCTCAGTGCTCAATGACCTCCAGGGTCACCAGGTCCCAGTTCAGAGAAATACCTTTGGATGTAGAGAAACAGGAAGTCTCATCACAGATGAGACTTATGGACCAGAATCTGAGGAGTGAATCAGAATCTTTGTCACCAAACATAAAGGCAGTTCTAAGGGTACATCATGGAAGTTGTTCTTTGTTCACAGGAAGTCAAATCTGTTCAGGGTGTGTCGTTCAGGGGAAAAGCTTGAAAAGGAAGGAAGAGAACAGACTGCTGATTGGTTAAGATGATAAACTATTTCTATAGAGAACCTTCAGTTTTCTACCACTTAAAAAAAAGCAGTTGGAAGAATAAAGGACCAGTGGTCAGGGAGTATATATATATATATACACACATACACACACACACACACAAACACACACCTCTCTTCTTTCTGGGGAAGCAGTGCAGCTGTTGGACCAGTTTTTCCAGTTTACTGGATGATTTCCTAATGCATGGAGATCAGAGACTGGTTTTATTTTTGCTTTTTTCTTTCCTCTCCAACGCCCATTTCATTCAAACGTTCTGAAGCAGAAAGATTTAAAGTCCTCGAATATTTGAGTTCTGACACCTGCATTTCAAAAGTCCCTTTTCTGATCAAGTGGGATCTCTTGTCCGATTCTGACATCTGCAGCTTTCCAAGCAAAATACACAGTTTAACCATAAGAACAGCAATCACCTTAAAGATGCAACAGAAAGTTGAGAGCAAGAAATCACCTTTTATTTGGTTTCAACCTTCTATAACGATTTTATTCAAGCCAGAAATGTTTATTAGGTCTGTTCACTGCTTTACTCATTCAGTGACCTGAAAGCATCAAACTATACTTTAAGCTGCATTAGAGGAATCCTTTGACTTTATTAGTAGAAGGTGGTTAAAAGACAAAAAGGTGATGGAAAAATGGCAGCAATATCTGCTTTTAAAATAAGGTTAAAAGTGCTTAAATCCCACTTTAAGTCTTATACTTTATTCATATTTCACTACATTAGCAGTTTATAAATGAACACAAAAAGAAAAAAAATTTAAATAAACCATGACACCCTGCTGGGCCCATTAACTTCTACTGGGAAGCTTTTTGGAGGGAGCATAGAGGAAGAAGCTGAATTATTGATGAAATTGGTCTAAATAAACACGGTAACCAGTAAACAAACACTTAGGGACTCAGAGAAGTCCAGGATGATCAGGCCAGGATGTGACCACACCCCGAAACTCCACTCCTGTGTGGTTTGAGGGAGAGGCCAGAAAATAAGAGACTAAACCTTTTCCATGAAAACTACATGAAACTTGAGTCAACAGAGAACCAGACATCAACATGGATCAAAAAGATTGCTTTAAATCAGCCAAACTCACCCAGAACAGCAGGTTGAAGAGGAACAGCAGATATTTGACACACTGGTTGACAGCCATGGCTCCTTTCTCAGACTGGATCCTCACAGGCAGAAAGCAGCAGGCAAACAATCAAAGCAAACCAGCTTCACCTGTTTGTTCCTCTCAGTCTGCTCCTTTTCTACCTCTGTCAGCCGGAGCCTCCTCCCTCACACCCCTCCCCCATCAGACCCCTCCCACATGCAAATCAAGCAAAGCAGCTCCAGCTTAATTATATGGGATATGTAGCACCTGAGAACTTTAGTTTGCAAGTTTTGTTATCAAAATATTGGTTAGATAAGTCTGGGCTTTGACTAGGCCATTTTAAAACAGACATATGTTTCATACTTAACCATGCAGATGTATCTCTGTATTTTTACAGCCATCCTCTTGAAAGATGAACCTCTAATTAGTTGTTTTTAGGTTAAATTGAGGAGAACATGTTTTTTTCCTCTAGAAACAAACACTTCAAATGTATTATTCTTTAAGGAAAAAATCTAATATTCTCTGTCTGCCTCCTCTCCACTCAGACTCTGCAGATTCGGTTACATTTGTCCTAATTCTTGCATTTGATAAGGCTCCTCCTTATGAATCTTCCAAAGCTTGATGATCTCATGGCTCAGTTTCCTCTCCTCAATGTTTATGGTTCGATTCAAACAAACACAACATGTTTAAGCAGCACAACAGATCACTGATCTCTATTTATTCACTGGATTGCTGATTGCCCATTGGTAGTACAGGGTTGAAGTGAAGCCACCAGCCGCCATATTGGTACTCCCTTGTTCAACCGGTCACAATGTAAACAGCTAATGCACTACAGCATCAAACAACGATTATATTCTCATTTTTAGGGAGACTTTTAAAATAAAGATAAATTTATCACTTTGACACACACTTGCTATTTCATAGCATCAGTAGATTACTGGAACTTATAATAATAAAAAAAAAATTGGCATATCACATTGCAGTCGATAAAACATATAATCATGTAATGTAACATATTATACAAATCCACCACAATAAAATGAATGTGTTAATGGAGCGTAAAAATACAGATGTGCCAAAAGTGCTAAATTGATAATGTAATATATAGGTATGTATTACACTGATATGGTAATTACATCTTATATGTCTGGTAATGCATATATATATATATATATATATATATAGACATTTCACAGTGAATTACTTTCTATTTACTCTACTTTTTTCTTTTTTTTCTTAAGTTGGACACAACGTCAATGGCTAATTTAGTCAATATCTTTGAGTCACTCCAAGATAGCCTGACTAATTTTATGCGACATGCTATACTGTAGGATTCATTGGCGTATATGTGGATTTTCTTGGTTAGTTCATTCACTGACTGTGAAATTACATGTGGAACATCTTCCACGGCCGGCAAACTGCTTGTTTTTGCAGCCAAATGCTACACAGGTAGGTATTTTTACTGCGTGTCTCTGTGGGAGTGGGGAGTACCAGCATGGTAGACGATGGCTTCACCTTTTTAGGGCAATCAGCAATCCAGTGAATAAATAGAGATCAGTGCAACAGATTTTTATGGGTCTTAGTTGTGGTTGACTCTTCAGTATTGCATTCCCTTCATTTTACTATATTTGTTTACTCATTTTTATGCCATATAAAATCTGTTGCCTGTTTATTTTCCTCCAGTTAAAAGGCATTTATCTTGAATGGAGCAAAAAATACTGCTTGTCATTTTTTGTGGTATTGGTTTTACAGTAATCATAATAATTAGCCAACAACTCATGAACACCTAACATATTGTGCGTAAATTACAGGTTGTGGGGCTTGTGGTAATGTGGTGGTGGCTGCAAAACATGCATGTCTGCTCAAATGAAAATGAAGCATTATCATGCAGGCTGTTACTAACTGTTTCCAGGCCAAAGGTGACCTTCAGGCTTTAGGCTCCACATAAGGCCTTGTATTTAGCTCCATGCACCAATATAATAACTTTCACACAGTTTACATACAATGGAAAAAACTCAAATTTAATCCTAAAAACCATAAAATAATAGAACTTAGTTTGGTTTGTCATTTCTTAAATGCCCAGCCATTTACATCAGGCCATTTCCTTAACAGCAATCCCTCCTCCAGACCAGACATGAGGCGATTGCACTTCAACAGGAAGAAACGTCCAATAAAATCAGGCTCAGTTTGGACGCCAAAACTAATAATAATTATTTATGTAGCACTTTAAAAAATAACTGCAGCTGCAACAAACAACAAGAAAGAAAAATACTAAACAGAGAAAAAAAGCAAAAAAATTAATTTCCTTTTTTCCCCCTAAAAAATAGGAAAGATAAAGAGACTGATCTACAAGAAACTTGTATAATAAGGAAATGTGAAGCAGCAGCAGTTTAGTTCACAGTCTTAAAATAGTTAAGAACACTGAATCCAGTTGTTCATATTGGATAAAAAACACAAACAGTGAACATAGCTTGAATTGGATTTTATTTCAGGGTTTGGAAAAAGTGAATTACTTGGATTAACTTAGATCTGTTTGTTTAATCCATGCACTGTGGCGTAAAGGTCTGCAACCTGAGAATAAATTGTTAAAGGAAAATTCCGGTTTTTAACACTTTTAGCCCATTTTCTGTAGTGTCCAGGATGAAATCGAATGATCGACACCAAAATTTTGACGATTGGTCCTGTCTCTGCTATTTGGCTCATGCAGAATCCCCCCCTGGCTGCTTCAGAATGGCTTCCATAGTGCATGTCCGATAATGTCCTTAAAACAACCTTAAACGTTCTTTTTTTAAAATATGCTACTCACCGGGTCGTCAGCGCTGTTCAATGACGTTCCAAAAAAAGTTTCGTGAAGAAAAACCGTTCCTGTCTTGTTTTATTTAGCATTTTGTAAATCCCAGAACTATTTTTTCCGATACATCACAACCGCTTATAAACTTCCGCTTCCCGTTCGAATCTGAAGCGTTGCACACTCCAGACCACTAGTTGGCGACGGTATCCTCTACCGTCAAACTCAAAGTCCAACATGTCCTCCTCAAGAATCCACCTTTCGTATTCCATTTTCAGAGTTTTTTAAAGTGTTTAACAGAGACGTTAGCACCTCGACGTCGGAGTACACAGGGTGAAGCAGAAACACTTGGGCCTTGCGAAAAGACTATAACTAAGCGTAAACAGGCCCCATTTCCGTTTCTCTCCGTGGCGGAGGGATATTGACTATTCCAACAGAACTCAATGGGATTTACAAAATGCTAAATAAAACACTACAGGAAAGTTTTTTCTTCACAAAACTTTTTTGGGAACGTCATTGAACAGCGCTGACGACCCGGTGAGTAGCATATTTTAAAAAAAGAACGTTTAAGGTTGTTTTAAGGACATTATCGGACATGCACTATGGAAGCCATTCTAAAGCAGCCAGGGGGTGATTCTAAATGAGCCAAAAAGCAGAGACAGGACCAATTGTCAAAATTTTGGTGTCGATCATTCGATTTCTTCCTGGACACTACAGAAAATGGGCTAAAAGTGTTAAAAACCGGAATTTTTTCTTTAAGCCTTTTATTGCACACATAACATTAAAAGGGTGTTTTTTGACAGTAAAAAATACATTTTATTATATCAAGACATGCCTATCTGTTTATTGTGAACATAAATGAAATACAAAATAACAGCAAAGCATCTGAAATGTTGGGATATATAACAATGGTCCTCAAAATTGTGGATTCTGAAATGGTATTCCTTTGAAATTACATCACAAGAACAAGTAGCTACAAACCCCACCTGCAAAATGGCACCTGATTGGCAGGATGTTTGGGAAGTTTCCGGACCTCTGGAGTTGGGTGCTTAGTACTACATGCTTATCTAGTAGTTTTCCAGCCAGATGATCAAAGCACTTGAGGAATGGAGGAGAAAGGAAATCTGATCCTAAAAGGCTTAAAGTCCAAAGAACTCAAAGTGTAATTCAGTTCATATAGCAAACATTTAGAAACACTTAAATTAAATGTTCAGGAAGTTCCTGTGTGATGCACATTGTGGTGCATGTGGCTTAGATATTTTGGATCTAACCCATCCTGTTGTCAGCTGTGGGGTTTCTGCATAAAGCATTGGTTAGTGCTGTGCTTCCTCTTCTTTGGAGCAGCTGTTTGGGACAGTAACAGATGTAGCATCATTCTGAGGTGCTTTGAAGGATGAGAGAACGCAGCAGATGCTGAATGCATCCACATACATTGTTTGGCAGTTTAAAGAATTGGTACATTTTGAAGTACAACTAATTCCAGATCAGTATTTTTAAAATTACATTTAGAAATATAATACAGTGATGATACCACCCAGGTCTTTTATTTTGAAATGTTATGGTATTTTGTATATTAACTCAATAGGCTGTATGACTGTTTTGGATGCCACCGACCATCGAGTCTCACAAAACATTAAACCTGAGAAAATTGTGCAATTTAAATATAAATGCGATAATTCTGTGGTCAGAGAGCCTTGTATTAATAAAAAGTTTGCCAAAATAACCTAATAGATTTTCTTTTTTTTTTTTTCTTACATGTTTTTTAAAAGTTGGTGTTGGATCTAAACTGATAAAGTGATTCCTTTACCTTCTAGTAGGATTCTTATGGCTGTTAATATGCAGCTTATCATTGATAACAGCCGCTTCGGCCGCCTCTAAAACTGTAAGTTTTATCTACTCTTTCTGTATTTTATAGTTTTTATCTACTTATTTATCCTTTTTTAAACGGTGTTTTAAAGCTTTACTGTTTCAATCACATGGATTTAATGTGGTGATTAAAAAACAACTCAGTTGAAAAGATAAGAGATTTATTTGTTTATGGTTTGTTTAATATGAGCGGCATGTGGATAATTTTTTTTTTACAGTACATTAAGAACTATTGAAATTATTTTCAGATTATACATAAATATATTAATAATTTCTGTGAAAAAAAAGGAATCACTTTAGGGTTAGGATTAGGATTCATTTGATAATAAAAACCTACTGAGCCTACTGGAACATAGGAGACACAATCTAAAGCCATTCAATGTTACTGATAACCTCTCATAATGGCCATTTAATGGCATGATAACATCCAAAGCTGCTGCAAAGAGACACTTAGTATTTACTGTGTAATGGAAGACAGAATCAAACTGAGGAAGAACCCCAT